ACCATTATGTCTACTTTTGTGTGTCTTTAAACTTTTCCAAAACAAAAGGCTTTTTTTTTTTTTTTTTTGAGTTCTATTTTAAACTCCTTTCATTTTCCGTAAGCACGAAAGGGATGTGCTGCTCTTTATTTTAGGGAGCGAAAGTTCTTTTTTGCTAAGGAATATGAAGTTAACCCCAAAGCCACATCATCAAAGAATCTATAGTATTATTAAGGCCTCTTTGTGGCTCAGAAGAGTTGGTATGTGATTGTTTTTATTCTGAGATTTATAGTGCTGCCTTATAATACTGTGTTCTTTAATTTATTTAAAACATAAGTGGCAGCCACAGTTCCCGTTCTATTTTGAGCCACTTTGGACACCCCCCTTTCTAGTCACCTAAGGTATATCTGCATCTGGTAACTATCAAAATATCACTAAGCCGGCACAGTGACTGTGGCTGATGTAAGGGACAGACACCACCAAGGCTACCAGTGAGATGGCTATCACTATCCGTAACAGCAGTCATAGTCCTTGTGGTGTGCAGGGAGCTGGGAGCCAGGTTAAGGGTGGGATTTCCAAGCACATGGCAAGGATGCTAGGTGGGAGAGGAGACCCGCTTCCCGTGCTTGGATGCTCGGGGAAGCCTTTGAGATCTACGCTGGCTTCACTGACAGAAGACGGGTTAAGGGTGTCCTGAGCACCTCTTCCTGCTTTCACAGTGTGTTTCTACTCAAAGCCAGTGGTTCCAATGACTCCCAGATGGACAGATTTATTGCAGGGTGCCTGCCGTGCTTTATCTGGATCCAACATCTTCTATGTGTGGAGCAATAACAATACTGACACATAAAGATGCTTTATCTGAGCGGATGCTGCTGTCGCTAATTAATAAACTCAACACCTGCAAAAGTCTTTCTAAATTTATTCTACCACTGTGCTCTTAAATCAGGTCTTACTACTGTCTTATGTATGGATGGACCAAAAAATGGAGACAGCCTCTTTAAAGTTACTTTTTTTTTTTAATCAGTGCTGGGCATCGAACTCGTGACCACACACTTGCAAGGCAGGTGCTTATGCTGCTGAGCTAAATCCTCAGCCCTAAAGAAGATAATGTCTTTTTTTTTTTTTTTTGTCTTTTTCATTTTTTATCGGTACCAGGGATTGAATTTACGACCACATACTTGGAAGGCAGGCGCTTATGCTGCTGAGCTAAATCCCCAGCCCGAGACAGCCTCTTAAATGAGAGGTTTTTCTTCATCAATTTGGCAAAGTGCTCTCTCTCTCTCTCTCTCTCTCTCTCTCTCTCTCTCTCTTTCATTTTATGTAACACTTTTTTTTGCTTGTTTGTTTATGATGTGATATAAGGAGGAAAGGTTGATTTTGGCTCATGGTTTCTGAGGGTTCAGTGCATGATTGCTTGGCCGGTTGCTTTGGGCCTATCATGGCACAGAACATCGCGCACTTCATGGTGGCCAGGAAGTAAGGGAGACAGGAAAGGGTGGGGGCCCCTTATCTCCTTCAGGGGCACATCTCTGAGGATTTAGCTTCTCTTCACTAGGGTCTCATTTCTTAATGGTGTCATGCTTCCTAAGAGCTCCACAGGGTAGAAACCAAACCTTCAGAATGGAGCTCTGAGAGACAGTCAACATCTAAACTATCACAATGACACAGGAGATAAATTAGAACGGGGGCTAATTCCATGTACTGGTCAGATTCTCTTCAGCATTTGTTTCTTAGAACCACAAGCTCTAAATATCAGTGCTGTGGGTCACATGTGTGGGAATGGAATGGAATGGTGCTGGGAATGGAATGCAGCATCTCAGTCATGGCAGGCCAGCCCTGCACCTCTGAGTATCTGTCATCTCCTATCCCTTTCCTTCTTGAGAGTTCCCTAATAGCCCTCTATATTCATGGGTTCCACACCCACAGATAGAAAATATAAAAATTGCCTCTGGGGGCTGGGGATTTAGCTCAGCAGCATAAGTACCTGCCTTGCAAGCAGGCAGTCGTGAGTTCGATCCCCAGTATCGGTAAAAATGCAAAAAGACAAAAAAAATTGCCTCTGTATTGAGCTTGCATAGACTTTTCTTCTGGTCACTATTCTGGTCATTATTCCCTATATGGCAGTGTTACACCTCTTTACACAGCATTTACATTGTACTATGTAAGTTATCTAGGTGATTTGTTTGTTTGCTTGTTTGAGAGTCTCACCATGTAGTTCAGGCTGGCCTTGAACTCACTATGTGGCCCACGCTGGCTTTGAACTCATGACAATCCTCCTGCCTCAGCCTCCCAAGTGCTAGGATGACAGACTTTTGCCACCATGCCCAACTATTTAAAGTATATGGGAGGATGTGTATAGATTCTCTGCAAATACTGCAGCATTGTGTAAGAGATTTGAGCACCACAGGATTTTGGTATTTGCAGGGAGTTCTATAACCAGGACACTGAGGGACACCTGCACTCCCTTTAGTGCCCTAACCTAAGAAACGTTTTCATGATCTATGCATACATTGAACCTAAAGGACCATAAAACTTGATCTCTTCTGGAGCTTTCTACAGTAGTGTAAACTTAAAGTTAGGTGCTTCTTGTTTGAAAAGCAAGTCTTCGGAGTATCTCAGAAGATTCTTATTACAGGATGAATTTTTACTCTAAATGTGCTAATGGCTCTTTTCAATTCTCCCTGAAACCAGGCATCTTTAAAAGAGACTTTGGCCTTGGATTATTACTGCAAGTGAACAAGCAGATGGCCTCAGCGCTGAGCAAGATTCCAGGGAGGAACGCTGAGCTCCCCCCTCATAACTGGAGGTGGGATTAGTGGAGGAGACTTGTTTATTAGCAAATCCTCTCTCTTCCTTTTATTTATTCCCCCATAATTATTTGCCACTTGCTAAGCCCTTGTTCTGCACCTGGCATTTTATGCTAATCTTTGCAACAATCCCACAAGGCAAAGCTTCTTCGCCTTCCATTTAATGGAAGAGGAATCTGACACGTACAAGGGTTAAATAATTGCTCTGAGGTCACAGAGCCACTCAGTGACAGGGTTAGAATTTGAACACAGATCTGTGTCCCCAGAGCCTTCGCCCACAGAGATGGGCCTCCTCTTCCTTGTAGATCTTAAACATCTGGTTATTCCTGTCTTGGGAGAGGTAAGAACTGCTGCCAATCAGACCCACACCAAGGCCCTTGTTTCCTTAGCCCACCGCATTTGTCTCCCCAGGAACAGTAGGTCCCTAAGTGGCTTAGCCACCACCAAGATCATCCGCACACTCGATGCACAGATGGCTGGGAGCTGGCTGTGACTTAACCTAATTATTCCGGCCTTTCCACTCTGAGAAATACTCATCAGAAAGCTGAGACTTTGAAAGACGGTTCAGATCTCAGCCCCCTAACGAGAACCATTCTGCAGGCAAATAAGTTCCCCACTTAAAGAAAGGGACATGGGTGGCTTGTTATTTGTCTCGAGAGAAGGAAGGAAGAGGGTGCTGTGCACAATGGCTCTTCAGTGAGCAAAGGCCACAGAGGAGCCCAGAAGGCCACTGTCTGTCACACAGGGAGTCTGCAGAGCTATCATCCCCAATGCTCCCCTCCCCCAGCCTCTTTTGCATGCTTTGATGGGAACTCACCTCTCACTTCCTAGTCTCTGCAGGACCCTCAGCATTTTACTGTGGGCTTTAACTGGTCATCTTCTTCCTGTCTCTGTTTCTCTGCCTATCTTTGTCTGTCTGTCATTAGCTCTCTGTCTGTCTGTCTGTCTCTCTCTGGTGACGGTGCGAAGGGTCACATCCAGGACCCCACTTATGCTAGGCAAATTCTCCACCACTGACCTACACCACTAGCCTGTACTTCTCATTAGGAGATAGAGATGAAACCTTGTTAACCTCTCTTCCTTTCAGTCCTAAAGAACTGTCTGCTAGAAATAAATTTCCCCACCCGACTGCCATTAAGACAAAAACCAAGCCCAGCAGGCTGGCATGTGCCTATAATCCAAGCACTGGGGAGGCTGACGCAGAATTGTAGCAAGTTTGAGGCCAGCCTGGGTTACAATGGAGAGTGTGAGGCCAGCTTGGATTACATAGTGACTCCCAGTCTCAAAACAACAATAACAACAACAACAAAAACCAAAAAAACAAAACAAAACAAAACAAAAAAACAAAAACCAAATGTAGACAGCAGGAAGACCGATGTATTTTAAGAGTGCTCCTGCATGGCATGAAATGGTCCCCACTGGCTTGGCAGAGACAGAAGAGGAAGCCATTTATATTTGGGAGCTGGGAGGAAGGGGCGTGTCCCCGCAAGGTCAGAAGCAGCGGTTTCTGGGTCCCACAAGCAGTGAGGCGCCAGAGCACACAGCAAGTGCTACATGTCAGGCAGCCAGCACTGCAGCCAGCCCGGGGGGCGCCGGGGGCCAGTGGTGACCAGAGCACTGCCCCTTAATGTAGCTCCCGCCTGGCCTGCGGCTGGGTCAGCCTGAGACTGCAGGCTCTGTGGGGGTAGCTGGGGACACAGTGTGGAACCGGCCACCTTCTAGTGGCGAAGGCAGCAGCTATCCTCTCCTATTCATTAGACCTCAGCGAGGAACCAGGGCTTTCATGTTCCTCCCCAGACCTCACCTGCTTAACCAGGATGTCTGCTCTCGGCTCTGCCTGGTGCAAAGAGCTCAGTTTTTAATTGTCTGTCTTCTAATTAAAGAATGTGTCTGTGTTGTTGGTTCACACTGGAGGCGATGACCCTGTGCCTCTAAATTTCACATGGAATAAAAAGCAGTGTTTGGAATCCTAAGTTCAGCTACCGAGAGATGTTTTTTTTCCCTGATGATTGTTGTTCCCTGAACTCTGCAGCTGCGATACCTGTCAGCTGTGCATTGCTTTTTTAACACTCCCAGGTCCCCAGGTCCCAGGTAGTGGGCTCCAATGGGTCTCAAAATAGACCAGGAACACAGGGCTGATAAGGTCCCAGTGGGCAGAAGGTAACATTACACCATCTGTGACCAAACCTCTAGAACAATCCGATCTGGGTCACCCTTTGCTCCAAAAGCTGGCTGGGCTGTGTTAAGAAGTGGGAGCTCCTCAGACAGTGTGTGCGCTTTCCTTGGAGTCAGTTAAACTTCCACTCAGCTTTGCAGGGGTCACAAACCACCACGCAGTAGGTAGGCTTTTCTTCTTTTTCCTTTTCCTTTTTTTTTCTTTAGAGGGCTGGATCGCCAAACAAATGTCCTGGTGGCCGTTAAGCTGAGCGAAATTCTTTGCAGGAGCACGTGTGCCAGTGTGTTGACAATGCCCGGCACACTTCGGGAGCCTTTTGGCACAGAGAGTAGCACAATTGGATTCTGGTGCTGGGGGGGGGGGGGGCAAAGCGTGCTGCTAATTTGTGCAACCACTGCCTGCGAATGAGGAGCCCAGGGATGGTCCCTCCACAGAGAGACCTTCAGGGCCCCAGGGCAAATGGGTTTTGCAGGTGATGAGAGGAAAGCCCCAGCCCAGAAAAAATGTTGGTTTCTGCTGGCCAGTGCGCCCGGTGTGAGGACACCTAGCCCCTCTCCAGTGTGGTCTGGATCTTGTGCCTTCTCTCCTGGAAAAAAGCTGCCTCTCTGAGCGACAGAATGGCAGCTGTAGACCCCATTGGGAGAGGAAGGGAACACACTCAAATATTTATAGAGGAAACCAGGAAGCGAGGAGGTGCAGCCAGCCTTCCTGGTGGGGCGGCTGACGCACACTGCCATCCTCAAGGCGGTTTCCTTCATTCCTCTGTACCTCAGTTTCTCAGTGCAATAATGGACGAAACAGGACCCCCTGCCCCAACCGGAGGCGCCGAGAACACCTAATTCATGTTTATGCTTCTTTGAGATAACTGGGATTACCGAGAGCATCATTACACAGAAGATTACATCTTTGTTGTCAAATGCCAGACATTCATCTGGATACCATGATGTAAGGCAAGGGCTTGCCAAGGACTTTCTTGGGGCCATCTTTTTGACTGTCTACTCAGGTGACGTCCCTTTCCCCTCTCTCCTTTTATTCTTTTCCACGGTGACTCCCAGTTGTGTCATTTGTGGGGAGTTCTACAGGGGAGGAGCCTCCGATTTCTCTTTGCTTGGATCGGAATCTGTTCGCTCATAAATCTTGGTCACGGGGCTGACTGGACGGGACCCTGCTAGCCGTGACGCTTTAGGTCACAACTCTGTAGCCTTTTATGGAAGATAACCTGTCCCTTTATACTTGGTTTCCCCCCTTTCAAAGTGCAGACTTCATTGTTTGGCCGGGGTGAATACATTACTTCCTCTTTGGGGGGTATGTGTTTCGTATCCTGCTGAGTTTGAAATGTCATATAATTTGTTGGTCTTGCTGGATTCTCTTGGAGGTTTGTTTGTTTTTGGTGTTGCCAAATTGTCACTGGCCACCAGAGCCCTGGTGCTTCCACCTCCTGATTAATGATGTTATAGAAACTCCTAGCCCTTAGCATTTACCAAGAAATAGGTATTCGGTTTTTAACTGCTCCCTTGGTTCTGCTGCCTGAGAAGGGAGTTCCCCCAGCCGGCACGACAAAACCCACAAAACCCCACAAGCCTGTTATCTTTTCTTCCTCCTGTGCTGTCAGGCTGCTGTGTTGCTGGGCTCATTATCTGGCTCAAAACTGGGCTTCCTATCAGACCATCCCCTGGTGGAATAGGGTGGTGATGGGGAGCGGTTGGGGGAGACCCACAGACTGATCTGCTGTGCTGCAAAGTGCAAGATTTCTGATGGTGCCTGGGATCGCCTATATCATGCTCCTAATTCTCAAAGCACCATTTCATTATGTATTATAATGGAACCATTTCCCTGAGCCCTTACTTTGGGCCAATCGCCAAGCCAAGACATCCGGGTCCCTCCGTAGGGCTTGGTGGTGAGTTCTGCTTCTTCCTTATTTAACGGATGGTAGAACAGAGACAAAGTGGTGAGAGGTGGGTGATTAGTTCACTTGGAACTCAAGGGTCGGGCGGATACCTCCATCAGCTCCATCGTTCCAGTGTTCTGGAAGAACGCCGTGGGAGAAGTCTGTTACTGGTGCCCAGTGCGGCCCGCACGGCCCCACTTCTGGGCTGTCTTAGTGAACTCTGGGATGTACTCAGGGAACACTGCGCCATCCTGCTAATCCAGTGAGGGGTGCTGGCTTAGAAAGTGATTCTGGGGGTGACACAAGTAGCTGAAAACTCTTTCTAATATGTCTTTAACTATTAAGACTGCCTTGTGGGCCCCAGGTGAGCATCCTTGAGATGGACGTGCTGGTCACAGTCTTGGGCCATGTCCCTGTTGCTGAGTTTTGGGGACACAGCACACTTCTCAGAATCCTGTGTTGCCGTCACCTTTCGAGCAAGTCCATTTTCTTGGCTTCCTGATTTTCTTCCTATCACTCTGGGCAATGTTTTGCTTGCTTCTTCAGAGTCGGTGGTCCCCAATGTGTCTTATCTCAGGGTGTTCTCATTTTCAGGGGTCTCCTTCATCATGGAGGTTCAATCGGCAGCTCCATGTAAGTGGCTTCTAGGTCTTAACTTCAGACTGATCTTTCTTCCTGGACTTTAAACTCAAAAGGTCCAATACCTAACACACTTTCTGGGTCTCTTCTCTCTGTCAAGGGCCCCACTGACCATCCATTCATCCAGCCAGAGGCCTTGGCATCGTTCTGTATCCTTCCCACTCTCTCCCCCAGGACACCCTTCTAACAAGTCCTAGACCATAAGGACTTGAATTCCTCCATTTCTCTCCATCCCATCAGAACCACAGTATGAGTCCTGGGGCATGGACAGAACTACTTTATATCCCACTGTCTTCCCAGAGCTTTGCAAATGGCAGAGGACAGAGGCCTCTGTTAGTTATGTCTCCGGTGGCAGAACAAATTATCCTAAAACTTGCTTGCTTAGGGCAATGGATACTCATTGTGTCACCGTTTTTGTGGGTCGGGAGCAGCTGGACTGAGGTTAGCTGGGACGTGAGCCTGGGCTGCTGTGGCCTGAAATCATACTGGGCTGCATGTAGGATCTTCTTCAAGATGGTGCATGCAGGGGCCCTTGGCTACTTTCTGCAATGTGGGCTTCTCCAAATGTCTTCTTGAGTGTCCTCATGTCATGGCAGCTGACTTCCCCAAGTTGGGGAGATCCATGAGCAACAGCAAAGAGGAACGTGCTACCCTGCTGCCCTAATCTCTCTCGGATCATTTTGGAGGGGGCATACTGACAACATTTTGAATTCATTAAAAATATGAAATATAGCTCCCTGCTACTGGGAAGGGAATCAAGTTCCCCCTCTTTTCTTTTCGACAGGGTCATGCAGTTCAGGCTGGACTTGAACTCAATATGTAGCCCAGGTTGGCCTTGAACTCTAGGCAACCCTCCTGCCTCAGCCTCCAGAGTGCTAGAACTGAAGGAGTGTGCCATCCTATCTGGCTGAGCTCTACCTTTTGAAGAGCACATTATCAAGAATCTGTCAACTTTCTTTAAAACATCACAGCATCTGAATAAAGTGAAAATGTGTTGAATACATGTACCAATATTAGACTCTCAATTCACCAATTTATCCGGCTCTTTACTGGGTACTTAACATCCTCAGGACTTCCCCCTGGGGAGAGGTTGAAAATCCTCACGAGAATGGAAACCATAAAAACCGAGATGGTCCTGGGGCTTCATCGTGTGAGTGGTGCAGACCAAAAGGCCACTCTGCGCCATCAGCCTGGCCATTGCAGGCCCAAGCCCACCCCAATCCCTGACCTAAAGTCACTGTTTGTTTCTTTGTGATCACTCAAGCTCTGAATAACCTCCTTCTCCTGCTTGGTTGCAAAATGTATTTTGAAGGCATCTCCGCGGTTGGCTCCCGTTTCGTTCCTTAGCTGGTGGGAGACTGCGTGGCAGCGTCCTGAGTCTCGTGCAGAGCTTTGCACCGCTCAGCCGCATAGAAGCAAGGTTGCCCATGTCGCCTAGCCCGTGCGTGTGTGCCCTCAATGGTGGCTATGGTTTGTGCATTGTGGGGCGCTGAAGCTGCTGCCCCACGGCCCGGAGAGCTGGAGACCCACTTCCGGGCTCGTTCTCAGTCTGCTCCTGGGCCACAGGTCCAGCGTCAGGGGTCAGATTCTTGGCGTCCCTTTCTGAGAGGTTGCTAGCCTCAGACAGGGCCCTTTCTGCCTTTGTGAGCTCCTTTGGAAAGCCTGTCTCCTGTCCTCTCCTGCAATCCCATAAGACCCAGGGAAGCCCGACACGAGGAAGGGCAGAGCCTGAGAGCTAGAAAATAGCTGTGGAATGCAGGTCAGACATTTCCAGATCTTCCTCTGTGTCACTCCAGGGGTGGCAGGATGGCCTAGGAACTAAGGAGCTGGGCTCCACACTGGGCTCGTGGTTTAGTTCTGCTCCATGCAAGACTCACCTTGTTTTTTTTTTTTTTTTTTTTTTGAGACAGGGTCTCACTGGGTAGTCTAGGCTGGCCTCGAATTTGTGGCAATCCTCCTGCCTCAGCCTTCTGAGTGCTGGGATTATAGGCGTGTGCCCCCATACCCTCCCCAAGAGACTCTTTAAACCTTAATTTATCATCTGTCAAACGGAAATAATACCCTCTTAAAATTGTTAGGAGAATCAAATGAGATAATCTATACTACACAATGGCCTCGTATCCAGTGTGTACTTAATACACATTAATACTTACTGTTTTATCTCTACCCACATTTTATTGGGAGGGTGGTACGCAAATATTACCCCTGCCAGTAGAGGACCCTTGTTTTCCTATTTTTGGATCCTAAATAAGTAACCCTCAATGTGTCCTTGGGGAGGGGAGCATATGATGTGCTTTTTGCCCTCCCAAAGTAGAAAGCTAGCCAGAATCAGTGGTTATAGTTGGGGTGTGTGTGTGTGTGTGTATAGGACTGGCTTGATGTTTTTACGAAGTTCATTGCTGTTAGCTTTTTGTTATGAGGTTGTTGGTGAAACAGTACCATCACAATGAAATGACTGGGGACTTTTGCTTGTAAGTGGAAGAGACAGACAGACAGGGACAGACAGGGAGAAAGGCTTGTAGATGTTACCTAACATGGGCAAAAATTTAGGCCAAGACAGAGATGTGTATTCAAGGCAGGAGTCATAAGGTATAAAGGTACAGGGGATGTTTTCCTCAACTATTTTGGTGAGCAGAAAAAGGAGAAGGGAATTATTGTTTTAGATGGGTGTTGGCATCTGAGGAAGAAACCAGACAAAAGCAACTCTGTTCTAATTTTTTGAAGTTTCTTTTTCATAATTTTATTTGATATAATGCCTTCCTTGGGTAATATTCTCCTGCCTATCTCTGTCTATCGGAGATTGAACCAAGGCCTTTGCAATGAACTAAAACCCAAGCCCTTTTTAATTTTATATTTTGAGACAGGGTATTGCTAAGTAATTAAGTTGCCCAAGCTGGGCTCAAACTTGCTATCCTCCTGCCTCAGTCACCCAGAGTCCTAGAATTACAGACATGCACTACTACATCTGATTGGATGACATTGTTTTAAAAATTAAAACCAACTGATTTCAGAGCTAAGTGTGTAGGTCATGGGTAGAGCACTTGGTTACCATGAGCTGGGCCCTGGCTTTGATACTCAGCAAAAAAAAAAATAATAATAATAAAGTTGAGAGCCAGGGATTTAGCTCAGTGACATAAGCATCTGCCTGGCAAGCGTGAGGTCGTGAGTTTGATCCCCAGTACAAAAAAAAAGAAGTTTGAGAATTGAACCATGTCACATCTCACAGATGTGACTGAAACCTTGGTGTTTACTCCATGCATGCCCAACAATCCCTGGCTAGGTGTCCAATGGTTTCACTGTGACCAGGGGAATCTTGTCACTGTGATGTGACCCTCCAAGGCCTTTTCTTTTGCTTTGTTATTTTCCAACATGCTGGTGACTTATTTTGCAACATGGTGACTTATTTTGCTTGGTTTTAATTTTTCCAAAGAGAACAATTCCCTGCAGAGACTGCCTGTGGCTTCTCTATCACCTGTAGTGAAGTCTCACTTTCTGCACAACCCTGGCAGCTCGGACCTGTGGCTTACATTTCACCAGAGCTGCCTCTGCCACACAGGTAATCAAGGCCGGACCTTCACACCAAGGCTGTGCCACAGACCGGATAGCTAGGGGAACTCGGAAATCTTTATTTGATCTCAATTCTACAAGAAAACCTGTAGATGGAGAGAGGAAGATACAATGCTGACTGTCGGTTTCTACTGTTTTGTTTTTTGAGACAGGTTTTGCCATGTAGCCCAGGCTGGCCTTGAACTCCTGGCTAATTCCTCCTGCCTCAGCCTCCAGGGTATTGGAATTACAGGCTTGCCCCACTTCCCCTGGCTCTGCATTTCTGCTTTTAAAATGCTAAGATGCTCTTCCTGCCTCCCTCTGATTTGTCACTTGGCCTTGGTGGTGGTGTTCTCTGTTGCAAGGCAGCAAAGCCTCTGGTTAGTTCCTGCTGAAGGCTCTTTGCTGCCCAAGGCTCCGGCGTTTCCCTTTTGTCCGCCACACGCCCCCAGCAGAGCAGGGCCCAGACCGTGATGTTGGGGGAGGAGCTCTTACTTAGAAGTCAGCCTGGCTTAGCGCACGCTGCGTTCTAAGAGGGCGCAGGGCTCGCGCTAGGCAGGGATGCGCGGGCAGAGGCGCCCCAGCCCCTGGGGCAGGGTCGCGCCCAGCTTGCTCCTCCCCGTCGGAGCGGAAGGCGCTGAGGTCAACAGCTTCAGTTTGTTTTTGCTCCCCGCCTCCCGAGGTCCTCAGTCTTGATTTTTCTGCTCTGCGCTCGCTCGGTTGTGTTTTCCCTCTTACTTCCTGTTGCTGCCCAGCTCTTCCTTTGCAGACCGGCAGCCGGGAGGAAGCGCACACAGCCAGAGGGAGCGGGGAGGGGCTCAGGAAGCGTCGCCCCGAGCCGCAGCGAGGAGCAGCGCTTAGGAGTCAAGGTCAGGGCTCCCACGACGGCCCGCCCAGCAAGGCCCAGTGGGAGGGATCGTTTGCATCGCTCTGTGCAAAAACTGCACACAGGCTGTCCCCAAGCCTGCTGGTGTGTAAGGTGGTGCCTGCTTTAGAACTGCGCGACAAGCAGGCGGTTCCCAAGGGCCAGTGGAGGACACGGAGAATCACCTGAAAGGGAACCGGCGCCCGCAGAGCTAACGCGGTGCACCTGTCACACTAACGTCCTGCCCATGTTACACGGGGATGCCAGACCTTTTTTATCTGGTTCAAAATGGCCTTGAGCTCACTCTCGAATTTGCAATGATTCTCCTGCTTGGCCTCCCAAGTGCTGGGGTTACAGGTGTGTGCCTCCACGCCTGGCTAGATCTATGTGGTTAGAATTAGACCTCTACCCCACCAGCTCTTCCTCCCTTCTTTCCTTCCTTTTTTTTTTCTCTCTTCCTCCCTTGCTCCTTCCCTCTGTCCTCTTTTCCTCCCTTCTTCTTCCTTCTTTCCTTCCTTTTCAGTCACTGTCTTGCTATGTTGCCCAAGCTGGCCTCCGACTCCTGGGCTCCAGCAATCCTCCTGCCTCAGCCTCTAAAGTAGCTGTGACTACAGGAGTCCACTACGGTGCCCTGTTGGTACAATTCTTCATTTCTGGGAGCCTCGGTTCTCTAAATTTTAAAAATTTGGGGCTGGGGATTTTGCTCAGTGCCTGATGAGTGCGAGGCCTGAGTTTGATCCCTGGTACCAAAAAATTTTTTTTGATTTTTCTGTTTAGCACTGGTCTGTAAGATGAATTTCCTACCCTTGAAATGGGACCAACAATATGTTCCTTTCAAGAGTGTCATGCGTCAATGAGAGAGTAATGAAAATACCAGGAGTGGCCCCCAGCAGGTTCGCAGGATAAACACACTTCCCTCTCCCTTTGTAGTTATTGTATCTGGACCCAGAGTGGCCTCCATTAACATAATAAAGGTTTTGGGGTCTAATTTCATTTAAGGGCTTTAGAAGAACTCTGAGAAACTACTAGTGAATGACTTGGCAAAGAAAAAAATAAATAAATGCATGACATAAACTGCTTCTTTGGCTTGTGTTTCTTTTATCTGTCACAGGGCAGTGAAGCGGGAGGGCGACCAGGAGCACTGTCCATGTTCACTCTTGGTAGCTTGGAGCCTGTCTGGTCCTGCAGGAGGAGGGCATTGAGGAGGCATTGCAGCAGGGCCTGTCCAGCGTGGCAGAGGCCCCCAGGCGCCACCTCCCTGGGCACACGTGCCACCTGCCAGGGGATCCCGCCCTGCCCCCAGCTCTCACCTCACGCTGAGCTGCTTGCTGGGCTTCTCTCCCGCCTCGATGTGGGCCTTTGGAAGTGCTGCGTAGCCCTGAGGATGGGACACTCAGCCACATGGCACTGGCCTTGGCCTTCTCTCCAGCCACCTGGCTCCTCCCCATCCTGGATTATCTCGGGGACACAAAGCTCGTCCTTCCACGTGGCCCCCCAAAGCACCATTTTAGGCAGATTCACTCAGATCAAGGCTGAGCTTGGGGTCCCGCCCACCGTGGGTCCCCCATCCTGGGAAGACACTTTGTTCCTTGCATGCAGCGCTCACAGCTGGTCTCTATGCACAGAGCCACTCACTGACCCTCTCCCTGCTCCTGCAGAGCCCCAGATGCCCTTGCTCCCAGCCTCTGCAGCGGGCCTGCTCCCCAAGCCTGCAACAGGCGGGGTGGGGGAACAGGAGAGAGGCAGGTGGGCTGTCTATCTGTTCACTCATCTCCTCAGAGCCCTCACTGGGCTGGTTTCAATGAGGAGCTCATAGTCAGGGGAACCTTGAAGTGTGGCCACCAATCCATCATGGGGTGCTCTGTCCTGTGGGGACAGAGGATTCTGGAAGGCTGAGAAGCCAATTCACGTCTCCTTTCTTCCTCCTGTGGTACACAGGCTCAAACCCAGGGCACTGCGTGAGTGAGGCAGTGCTCTAGTGCTGAATCTTGGTATTTATTTCTATTTATTTCTTTTCTATTTTGAGATGGCTTTTCACTGAATTGCCCAGGCTGGCTTTGAACTTGTGCCTCAGCCTCCTGGAACTCCAGACACCCACACCACTCCCAGCAGGCAGAAATTCCTTTCTTTCTTTTCTTTTCTTTCTTTTTTTTTTTTTTTGAGACAGGGTCTCTATGCACTTCAGGCTGGCCTTGAGTTCACTTTGTAGCCCAGGCTGGTCTTGAATTTGCAATGATCCTCCTGCCTCAGCTTCCTGAGTGCTGGGATTATAGGCATGAGCCACCACGCCTGGCTAGAGATTCATTTCTTTTTTGGTGAATGAAATACTTCTTGAAAGACACTAAGAAACTATTTAATCTTTTCTAATTATTAAAATAAGAGCCACTTTGTAAAATGACTTTGTAATCATCTTTGCACGTTATTTACTAATCCCCTTTCATCTGGTGATTTGAATCTTTCTTCAGCCCTGGGAGAGTCTGGCATAGTTTGTTTTCCTCTGGATTCTTCTCTGTCCTGTCCTGGAATTCCTGTAAGGGAGCTGGACCCATGGATCATATCGTCACGTCTCTAAATGTCTAGCTCACGTTTTCAATCTCATGAGAAAACCAGCCTGCTCTTCCATTTAACACATTCGCTCTTTGTGGATGAGTATCTGTGATTCATTGCATCGTTCAGCAATTAGGTCTTCAATTTCCACTGACGCTAAGGGCTTCTTTTCCTAGACATCCGGTCCTTTGTGGATTTTGCATCTTTGCACATCCCTCTGGGGACAATAATTATACTTAATTTAAAGCTCTCTTCATTTTCCTGTAGTACCTCTCTCCCCAGGGTCTAATTTCTTCAGCGCATTGACTTTAGCGTTTGATTTTCTCAAATTGGTGGCGATCTTGTTCGCATGTCAAGCATCAGGTGAAGCCCGGGAGCCTGACAGGTGTTGGTAGCCGTGCGTGGTGAGGGTCGCTCCACTTCCGGAGGTGACCACAGGAGTCAGAGCCTGGCAGCTGTGCAGGGAGGCCGGAGTCCGGATGGAAGGAAACCAAACCTGGGATTAGAGATGAAAGGGTTAGAATGTGGAATTCAGATGAGGGGCCCAGCCTGGACCGAAGAGCCGGAGATGAATGCAGGGTGTTTGGGGCTGGAGGAGAGAAAGTCAAGATCACAGATGAGCGTCAGAGGTAAGGAGGTCGTTTCCGGGCAGGTGTAGCATTTACGGCACACGGAACAGATGGAAGTGGGCAGAAGGGAAGGAGGAAGACAGTCTGGTGACAGTGAGCCTCACTGGTCATTGGGCTGCGGAGAACTGGGGTGACATAGTGGAGATGGCCGGGGACTCTGGTCTGGGCGATTGGGGGCTGAGCTGCCAGAGAGGAGGTCAGAAGACAGAGGGGCCGTGGGAAGGGGTGAGCAGCTGGACACCAGGAATCCGAGCTGCTGACAGGACGTCAGGGTGGGCCATCAAGCCTGGACAGGCTGGGACCTCAGATGGGCTCGGGACCTGTCCACTGGAGGCAGGAGCTGCCCACCCATGTGGCCGGGGCTGCTGAGAGGGGTTGGGGCTTTGAGGGACTCCTCGGGGCTGGGAGGATGAAGAGGAAGCAGTAAAACAACCCGAAAAGGAGTAAGCCAGGAAGCAAATAGTCTGTGTCACAGGAAACCACGGGAAGACAGATTTAAGATGGGCCAGGCAGCGGTGGTCGGAGTGCGATAGGGAAGCAAATCCCAGAAATGTGGCGAGGGCACCGCGTCCTGGGTGCTGACCCGGCCGGGCTCTGGGCTACCCACTTCCCTTGTAGGAGCCTCAGGAGCTCCTAGGGGTGCTTGGGGAGGTGACCAGACTGTGGGAGCTTACAGGTGACTCGCTGTTGGGAGGGGGGTCTGGTGGGAAGAGGTGGGTCCCTGGGGCATGGCCTGGGGGTTCTCTCCCCCCCCCCCCCGAGCTGGGTCTCCTTTCACTGTCCACTTCCTGTCCACCACGCCCTGAGCTGCTTCCTCCGCTGGACCCTCTGCTACATGGTCCTACCAGGGAGCCCGCTGACCACCGTGGGCTGAGACCTCCACAGATGGTGGACTGCAACAAACCTCTGTCCCTTGAGGTCGTGGGTGTCAGCAATTGTGTCCTGGTGAGGAGGAGAGTGACTAAGTCAGCAGGTGCTGCGCTGTCTCTCATCATGGAAAAACTTAAAGCAGAGTGAGGTAGGCAGCGTGACCCTGGTCACACACGGCAGGGCGTGACACCATCTCAATTCCACAGCCTTCTGCATTATGAAATCCCACATTTGTAGCTCAAGGAGATGCTTTTCCTGCTCGTTGATGTGAATATACATAAATCGGACATAAATCTGTATTCCCTATCCATGGGCTCCAAGTTGAGAAACCCCTCGAGGTATCTTCCCAAAAGAGTTAAAGTCACCCTCCTGCTTCTTACGTAATTCATGGTTGCTAAATCTTGGAAGTGGCCTATCTGCCTCTCAAAAGACAGATGGATAAAGAAAATGTGCCATTTACTCACAACGGAATATCATTCTGCTCTACAGAAGGCTCAGCTGAGTCCTTTGTAGGCAAATGGGTGCATCTTGAGACCGTATTTTAAGAGAAATCAGACACACAAGGTTAAATATCACATGGTTTCTCTGATGTGAGAAATGCAAACTATACATAGCAAAACAAAAAGATGGATAACAGGAAATAGATCTGCAGACGGGGAGGGGACCAAGAAATGGCGGGGAGGGGAGGGGCTCTGTGAGGCCGCTGCCCACGAGGAATGTGAGCACGGGGTACTGCAAACGTGCGCTGATAAAAATGAAAGCTTTTTAAAAAGCTGAGAAAAGGAAGTCCCCTCCTTTCCCCACTGAGCTTCAGAGAGGAGCAAACCTTTGTGTTATAGGTAAGCGTGCGGAAGATGGTCCCACGTTTTGATAGCTCTGAAAAGCAGTGTAGGTCTTGGGTGTGCAGAGCTCACGTGTCCTCCACACCCTGGGTCCTGGTTGTTTGGGGAGTACCTGCAGTACTTGGCAGTACCTGCAACCTGGAGACTTGGGTGAGCTCAGCAGGTTGAGTCAGTTCTACTTCTCGGCCTCCAATATGTGATAGACCTGGTAGCCCAGGCCCTGACTGCCTCTCTGGTGTTGTCTCCCTCTGTCCCATCTGGCACTCCATGCCAGCTACTCAGAACACTCTGGTGACCTCAGGACAGATCTCCCCTGCCCCTGGGCCTTTGCACATGCTGCTCCTTTCAGTTTTCTCCATCCTCCCCACTTCCTGGCCCTACCCAGCAGCCAGAATGATCCTTTTGAAACCTACATTCGAGCTTATCACCCTCTGGCTTGGTAGTTTTCCCATAGTGCAAGTAACAAAATCCACTTAGGATCAGTGGCATGGATGTGGTGCTAGGGCCACCTCCTCCGGGCAGTCTCCCCTGACTGACTGCTCCTCCTTGGCTTGCTTTAGGTTCGACCTGGTCGTCCTAACTTGAAGCCTAGGCTTGCCTCAAGTCTAGCACCATCTACATGGGCTTGTCACTGTCTTCTTGAAGAACTGCCCCATTACCCTGACAAGTCCTGTGTGTTTCTACAACCTGGATGAGCTCCCTGCCCAGCACCTGCCTTGTCTGATGGCCTTTATGGGACAAGGAAGAAGGAACTAAGAGTCTCTCTGACAGAGAAGAGTCCCTCTTCTCGTGACTCCAGGAAACCCTGAAGCCTCCTCGGCTCCCACAGCTGGCTGGAGCAGGAGGCAGCTACGCTTGCAAAGCTGAGGTCCTGGCCTGCAGCCCCACCACCTCCTTTTGGAGTTTGCTCAGTGCACATGCCTCTGAACTGACCCAGGAGAGCCGGGTAGCCGACGTGTCCCAAAAGGACGGCCGGCAGGTACAGAATGCCCCGGAGGCTTGCCCTCTGGGAGGGAGGGTGACATCTAGAAACTGGCCTGGCTGATTTTTATCAACCTGCCTTTCAGTGAAACTGTACGGTGCGAAATGGAACAAAGCAATCGCTTAACCATCACTGTCTGCTGAACCATCCTAGGCAGAAGCAGTTTTTGCTCAGCCTGATGGGAGAGGTAGTTATGAAGCCTTGATTAAAAAAAAAAAAACTCCCAGATGTAAGTGGCTGATGGCAAGATGAGTATTGGTGAAGTCTAGCCTTCTACACTGTTTATTGAACTTTACAGAGAGGCGCCAATCGTAGGCCTTAACTCTGCTGCTTTCTTTATAGCAGTGATGCTAAGGTGGAGGCGGTGTAGCTAATTAAATATTGTGGGCTGGAGTGGCTTTTTGGTGCTGTTGTTTCCGTACTGGGGATTGAACCCAGGGCCTCCACATGAGCTACACCCCTTACCCTCTTCTTAAATTTTTTATTTTGAGACAGAGTCTCACTGAGTCACCAAGTTGCCCAGGTTGGGCACCAGCTTGTGGTCTTCCTGCCTCAGCCTCCGACAGCACTGCAGTGACAGGCGTGACCGTGCCAGGCTGATGCTTGGTTCTTACCCCTGGGGTAAGTATGCTTTCTCAGAGCACGCTGGGAGTCAGAAAGGGAGAAGTCAGTTTAATTTTGCCGACGCCCCTCGGGTCTCGGCTGCGGTTCTGGTTCTAAGTCCCACTTCCTTGTTTGGAACCAGAACCGCAGCCAAGACCCGAGTTGGCTGGACTCCTCACTGCACAGCTCCTGGGACCAACGCGAGGGGCACACGTCAGGGCACAATGGAGCCTGGCGAGAGAATGCATGGAATAAGGTGTTATTCCATGCACAGAGACTTGAGCACGGAGCAGCTCTGCCCAGCAGCACAGCACGGAGGGGGTCTCTGCCCTGGGGCATCGAGTGCCAGGGAGTCAGGCCTGTGAGGACCACACTGTCCCACAGGTGCCCAGACTTTGTTCTTATTCCCTAACCTGTATGGTGTGACCACTGAGTGCAGAGCACTTCTGAGGTGTTGGAGATTTCACGGCATCTGCAGGGGTCCTTGCGGAGGCTCTGCATGAATCCTGTGCCTTCTCATCAGGCAAAGGACTTGAGCATCATGAGTCTGGTAACCCTCGCTGGGAGAGGGTGCTGGGCACCTCCACTACCAAGGGGACGCCCACATATTGCACAGAGGCCCCCGGGATCCAGGGACACCGGAACCCTGTGACAAGCCCCTTTCACTGGATACCTTCCGAAGTATGGGAGACAGGAGGTCCCAGCACGCGGATGTTTGCTGCCAGGCCCCATGTCCTGGAAGACACTGGAGGGCTTTTCTTCACTCCATTCCTCAAATGCATCTCCAGAAGTACAGGAAGTGACATTTAAAAAAAACATTAACACTCTCAGTGCCAATGGCAACTGCCCTTCCTCTGTGTTTCCCCGCTTGCTTTTGACACCAGCGTCCTGTGTCCTGCAGAGCTGCTGTGTCCTGGGGCAGCATCTCTACCTCACCCTCGGCCCCAGTGTCTGCTGTGTCAGCCTTGGGTGAAGTGGACACACAGCCCCGCCGGTCAGATGGGCAGCCGTGAGCCTGGCCCTCAGGACGTCGCGAAGGATCCTCCGGAGGAATGTCCATGGTGTGCTACTTGAGACCCTAGTTCAATCTTTGACCTTCATATTTGCTCTGGTGCCAGAAGTGATTTGTGGTGTTTCTGAATGTTTTGACACTGTTTCGAATCCTAACCCTAACCCTAACCCTAACCCTAACCCTAACCCTAACCCTAACCCTAACCCTGATCCCAACCCTTGTTCCTTGTTGCTTTTCTCCCCAAGGTGTAAAGTCTACCAATACTCTCATGCAGGAGCTCTGAAGATGGCCCAGGACCCACACAGGCTTTCCTTACCTTTCCTTTCTTGCCTCTCCACCTCCGATCCCTGCCAGGCCCTTCGGGCAGCCCTGTCTTGCCTGCTGTGTGCGTGTGGCCCTCCAGCCTCTGCTGTTACAGCTGTAACCATAGCGAGACCCCCAGCTTATGAGAGATGAGTGAGCTCTCTTTCCCAAAGCTGAAATCCCTTTTGAACTGGGCGACACTCACAGCTAAGCTTCCCTGTGTGGGTGGAGAGCCTAGTGGTTGGGGAAAGAAAAATTCAGCAAGCTGGAGACATAGCTTGGTGGTAGGGTACTTGCTAGCATGTATGGGGCTAGATTCAGTCAATTCTTAGTCTAAAAAACAAATCAAAACAAAAGAGGCTGGGTGTGGTGGCACACGCCTGTAATCCCAGCATTTGGGAAGCTGAGACAGGAGTATCACTGGGAATTCAAGGCAAGCCTGACCTATGAAGTGAGTTCAAGGCCAGCCTGAACTTCATAGTTAAACCTCGTTTCAAAAAAGACAAAAACAAGGCAACTCTTCCCTCCCCCGCCCAAGTTAAGCATGAATGTACCTTAGTGCAAAGGAAATCTATTTTGGTAGTAAATGGTCATTTTAATTTAGTTTAATTTTTTTTTGGTACTGGGAATTGAACTCTCGACCTCACACTTGCCAGGCAGACACTGTGCCACTGAGCTCAATCCCCAGCCCAGAAACCTATTTCAGAGGCACAAACAACCTGCTTTCTTACCTGCATGCCCCTTTCCTCCATGGACTCACAACAGAGAGAAAAGGAAGCAGAAAAACCCACCATCATTTTCCCCATCCAGTGTGTTCATTCCATGCAACCATGCATCCATCCTTCCCTCCATGCATCCATCCCTCTGCCCATCCATCCATCCACTCATCCATGCATCCATCCATGCATCCATCCATCCATGCATCCATCCCTCCACCCCTCCACTCATCCATCCATCACCCATCTGTCCATCCATCCACCTATCCATGCACCCCTTCCCCCATCCATTCACACCTCCATGCCTCCCTTCGTTTACCCATGCATCCCTCCCTCCTGTATCCCTGCAAACCTGCCCTGTGCCCTCTTCCTCCCTTCTGCACTGTCCTCCACCCTCCCTGGGGTGGCTGATATGAGAACCCTCCCTGCTCCCTTCCTAGCCCCACTGGGATGTGTCCTGTCCTCTGTTTTTTTTCTCCCTGCTTCCCTGTTGATTACACCACTGTCCTCTCTGTGCTCCCAGGGCTCAGCGCTCTCACTGTCCCATCCAGGTCGTCCTCACCTGCAGACGGGCCCCAGGCAAGCCCTGTGTGGAGGTCTGCATGCGTGGCTTCTGCTCTGGCTTCTGGGACATGGCCCCTCCACCTCTATGTGGCCCTTTGGTCTCTAGAGTGGCTTTGTTCTGGCCAGAGCCCACCCCTCCTGGCAAAGCAGGTAGAGATGGGCAGTTCCTTTGCTTTACTGTGGCTTTTACTAAAGTGGCAGAGGCTGGCACAAGAGAACAGGTGGAAGGACGGGATGCTAAGGGGCACCGGAGAAGCCAAATCTCTCTCACATGTTGCTACACCGTTCTTGGGGTGCATATAGAAGACCACGCCCTTGACCATACTTGTTAACCAGGAAATATTAGCTGTAAAATAGCATGCACAGTCTCACAGTGTCAATTTATGGTGGGGTTACATCACCACAAATCCACTGCAAACTGAAAATATTACAACAAAAGTGCTTTTACTAAGGAGACTTGGTGGTGTATGCCTGTAATTCCAGCTACTGGGGAGGCTGAGGCTGGAGGATTGCAAGTCTGTGGGCTGGCCTGAACAACTTAGCGAGATGGTCACAAAATAAAATCAAGAGGACAGGAGAATTCCTAGTACCATGCCAAAAGAAAAAAATTACTACACCAACCTACCGATCAGCTTAGGTGAGCCTCGCCTACTTTGAATATGCTCAGAACAACTACATCAGCTTATTTTACGATAAAGTATTGACTGTCTCAGGAAACTCATGAAACACCGTCCTGAATGCAAGAAGCAGAAGGCTGTGTAGGCGGGGATGGCTTTGCAGCACCATCAAGCTGAAAAATCTAAATCAAACCGTGTAAGTCAACGGCCATCTCTATGAGACACATTCATGAACACGGAGAGCCGTAACCAAACCACACAGTCCAGACCCATTAAAGAGACTCTGTGCTTTCCTCTTTTTACATTTTATTTAGTTTTTGAGACAGAGTCTCACTGCTAGGTTGTCCAGGCTGGCTTTGAACTACTGGGCTCAGACAGTATTCCTGTCTCAGCCTCCCCAGTGGCTGGACTCCAGCTACAGTCTACCATGCCTGGGTCCCTGAATCTTTTACAACTAGTATACACCAATGTGTTTTTTGGTGTGTGTCTTTTTTGAGACAGGGTCTTGCTATGCAGTTCAGGCTGGGAGCTCACTTTGTAGCCCAGGTCTCGAATTTGCAATGAGCCTCCTAGGAGCTCCAGCCTCCTGAGTGCTGGGATGACAGGCGTGTGCCACCACACCTGGCTTGCAATGTGTTTTGTGCATATGTGCTTTTTAAAAGGAAAGGTAGAGCGGAGCTTTGCAGTGCAAAGGAGCGGAGAGCTCTCTGCAGGCTCTCAGGCAGCTCCAGGATAGGCCGCAGAGGTCTCTGCTGCGGCTGGCTCCCGTGCGCTTCTCAGGCTGAGGGTGACCAGAGGAGGCTGAGAGTGCCCGGGTTGGACACTAAAGGGCCATGTGCTCGCGGCCTCCAGGGACAGTGGAGCCTGGAGGCACAGAGCAGATGCTTGCACAGTTAACTTGCCAGGGAAGTTCACCGAGGGTCGCTACAAAGGGAGTGAGCTTGCTGCTTATGTTTATTGTTTGGGTTAATTGCGTGTAAACCTATTTTTGTATTGTGGGTTATACAGCAGGAGGCAGACAGGTAGTCACCTGTGGATCCCTGGGATCAGGTCTGGACCCGCTCAAACACAGGATGCCTCGGCTCTCTGGGTCCTGGTGCTCAGTTTGCACAGAGCCTGGATGCAACTTCTGCGCGGGCTCTGAATCATTGCAGGAGGATGCATAGGAGCTCATGGGTGCAGTGCCCTGCAGATGAGAGATATGGCATCCCTGAGGGAGTAATGAGAAGAAAAGAGTCTGTTTGTGTGTAGTACAGATGTAATTCCGTCCTCCGAAATATTTCTCATCTTCAGTTGGTTATATTTTTGGATGTGGAACCCATTGATTCAGAGGGCCAACCAGGCGGGCTTATGGTTCGCACTAGGGCATGGCAGATTCCTGGTTCCACGAACAATATAGCTAATGTGTGCAAAGGTCCTTAATTACCATGCTTTGTGGCTTTTTTCCCCCCTGAGACAGAGTCTTGCTATGTAATTCAGGCTGTCCTGGAACTCACAGTGATCTTCCTGCCTCAGCCTCCCAAGGGCTGAGGTCACAGGTGTACATCACTACGCCTAGCTCCTGGCTTTGTTTTAATCGCCGAATTTCCACATCCTCTGGGTTTCTCTGTGGCAAAGAGTAGATTTAATGTCTTATAACTCAATTAGTGTGTGTTGGTATTGTTATCATTATAATTACTAGAAGGGTCTTTAGATGGATTTGATTTAGAACTGCAAAAGACTTCACCATTTGTAGTTATTGTCAAAACATATTATATATATATATATACACACACTCTTATGTATGTGGCATATATAAGTATATATAGCATAAGTATATTATATATACATATATATTTTATTTTATTTTATTTTTGTACTGGGATGACCTTTTCACTGAGCTACTTCCCTAACCCTTTTGAAAATTTTTAAATCTTGAAACAGGGTCTCGCTAAGTTGTGCAGGCTGGGCTCAGCTGTGCAAGTCTGATGGTCAGCCTCCCGTGTGCTAAGGTGACAGGTGTGCACCACCACTCCCAGCTTTTCAAATACATCTGCAACTTCTTTGGGCCCCCACGGTTCTTTCTCAAGCCTCATTGTTCTTCCAGAGCTTCGGCGAAGACACTGGAGGCAGAAGTGACACCGCCCCAGGAAGCACGCGTGGTGTCCTGGAGCTGCTGGCTTGGTGACCACAGAATGCCCAGCGCATGTGCTGCAGGGCTGAGCTTCTCTCCGTCGCAGAGGCCTGCATTTTAGTGTAAGAACAATGTCAGTGCTGCTCTGATACAGGCTTGGCGCAGGAGAGATGGAAACTTGTTGAAGTGGAATGATTGCCACTGCCGGATACATTTGGGCATTTTTCTTCCTTGCTAATGAAAACACAAAACACAAAAACACCCCCCCACCACCAAAAAAAAAAAACCCTTGGAAAAACCTAGCAAAGTATTTCGTTACCATCGAGAGTTGAGCGATGGTGGCCCCTGGTGACACAGCATGACACACAGCGCAAGACACACACACAGAGACAACAGCGGTACTGCCCACCGAGGGGGGGTCTTGAACCTTCTCTGCTTTGCCCCTTCCCAGCCTTCAGTGTCTGAACACGAATCCTGACCGCCTCAGCGCCAGGCCTGCACAAGCGGTATGGTCTCTTTGGGGAGCTCCAGGCTTAAGCTTCTTTGGGACCCGGCTTGTGGCTCCCCCTGACTGAGCTCACGCAGCCTCTCTTCCCATAGCGCCCCACTCTGAGCTCACTGTGCTATCAAAACCCGTCTTTCAAGCCGAGGGCTTGCAGGTCAACCGGACTTTCCCTCCGAGCTGTTTTTATTTTCCTGGGAGACTCCCGGTAAAATTACCTGAGCCTTCATCTAGGTAAATAAAGCTCCATGTGGGGAATTTGAGGTATGTGGTGCCACAAGTTGAGGAGATAATTTTGCGTGGGAGAGGGGGTCCTTTCCAGCAGCCTTTCCTTCCTAAAGGTAGGAACCCTACATTTCCCAAACCATCTCAGGGAGGTCACTCCATGACTGTGTCCCTCTCTGTCTAGGATGAAATAGGGACGAGGATTTTATAACTTTCCTACCCGACATGCTCTGACTCCAGGGAGCATGTGATTTCCTGGCATCAGTGGGATAGAGGGCACCTACCTTGTTCTCTTGAACATGCCTGGCTCTCCAGGTCCAATGATCTGCCTCCAGTGTGGGTGCCCCCGGGCTCGAAGCTCCACTATTCACAAAAGCCGGACGGTGGAGTCTGACGGGAGAAGGATGCTTGCAATGTGATCTGCACGGGCAACAGAATGGTCCTGTTCCTAAAAGGAAGGGAATTCTGACGCATACTGAAATATGGATAAAAATAAGAGATGTTATGCTCATGCAATAAGCATAATGCTGGCTATGAATAATTCAATTTTTCAGGGGGAGTCAGTACTAGGAATTGAACCCAGGCCCTGGACAGAGAAGTACATACTTTGCCCTTTTAAAATTTTTATTTTGAGACAGTCTTGCTAAATTGTTAAGTTGACCAGCGTGGGATTCAATTTTTGTGATTCTCCTGCCTCAGTCTCTTGAGGTGCTGGGACCATAGGTATGAGTCATCACATCCCATTTATATGGTTCTGCATATACGAAGTGCCCAGAGTAGGTAAATTTTAGGAAACAAGAGAAGATGATGTTTATTAAGGCTGGGAGGAGAAGTGATAATACACAGTTATTGTCCAATGGGTACAGAGTTTCATTTTGAGATCCTGGAATGGTTATGCAGGCCTATAATTCCAGCACTCGGGAGGCTGAGGCAGGAGGATCCTAAGTTTGAGGCCAGGATGGGGTACATAAAGATGTCTCCAGTCCTCCCCTCCAAAAACAAAAGTTTCAGTTTGGGAGAATGAAGAGGTTCTGGAGAAAGAAACAATGACAATGTATCTAATGCCACCACTCAGTTAAACATGGTTAAGATGGTGACTTTTGTTATGTACCTTTTGCTGCAACTAAAAAAGAACTGGCATTGAACTTAAGATGGACATTCAGTACTGTTGATTGGTTAATATATAAACTCAGGTGCCTCCCACTCCGCTTCATGGTCATTGTATTTTGTCCTCCTGTGCCTGTGAGAGGTGGTTGATTCATGTCACCACAACTCCTCAGCTGGCTTTTTTTTTTCCCTGCGGTACCAGGGATTGAACTCACGACCTTGCACTTGCCAGGCAGGTGCTCGTGCCACTGAACCACTAAACCCACAGCCCTCAGCTTGCTTTGAAACAATAGTGACTTTCACTGAGTTCTGTGGGGAAATGCGCACAGCGAGGAGTTTGTCACATCTTGCTCTCTTAGATCATGGGACAGGAGACAGCTGACAGAGGGTCCCAGGTGACAGCCCTCATTTAAATGGACCCAGTCTGGCCCAGTAGAGGGAAGGAACAGGCCCTAGAATGTTACTCTCAATTTTTCTTTCTTGCAGTTATGCAAAAAAAGGTCTAAGTAATGACATCTTGTCCAACCAGCCCCTTCCCCTAGAGCACTGAGTTTAATAAGGAATTAATTAATTTCCTTTAATAAGGAATTTCCTTTAGGAAGGTGACTTTTAGAAAGGAAACAAGCATGGTTTATTCTTGCTGCTTGTCTTAGTTACTTTTCTCATTGCTGAGGCAAAACCCCCGACCCCCACAGGTGAAGCAGGAAGGGATTATTTGGCTCACAGTTTGCAGAGGTTTCAGTTTGCAGTTGTCTGGCGCCAAGGCAGGGAGAGGGTTAGAGGAGAAGGAGATCCTGGCAGGCACAAGGCAGCAAAAGCAAGCAAGCAACCCAGTGAGACAGTAGCGGCTTCTTTCTGCCCCTTTTATATTCTATCTAGGCCACCCAGCTAAGGCGGTATCAAACCAATCAGCACACTGACGTAGTAATGGCCCACTCTTAATCCCAGCTTCCTTCATGCTGGTGTTGCACCGTGAATCAATCATAGCATCACACTCTAGATCTGGGAGCTCTGACAAAGCCCCACCAATGACCGTGTGCGCCTGGGAGAGACCTCTACACACAGGTCACAACACTGCCTAACCGGGAGCCTTCCGTGAGTCTGACTTGGGCCCACAGAACTCTCACAAGCATAGGCTTTGGTCTTTCTCCGGGCTATGGAGGTGCTGACAGGTTTGCAGAAACCATGGACATCAGGGACATCAAGGCTGGGAAGGCCACCTCTGGAAGAGCAGCATTGTGCAACCGCAGCCTCCCATCCCCTCTCCGCAGCCCCTCCTACTGCCCACCTCTGAATTTGACTCCTGTAGGTGCCTGGCGTGAGAGGGATCCTTAGTACTTGTCTCTCTGGAATCGGCTTCAGGGTTTATGCACACTGTCACACAAGTTAGACTTTCTCTGGTGGGCTTCCTTTCCTTTTAAAGGTTGAAGAATAACTTATCCCTTCAATGTGAACATCTATTTGGGTTGTTTCTCATCCAGATTATTTTGCAAATTATAGGAACATGTCATGAAAAAATAGTTTATAATACTCCTTGTGCCTGGAGCGACTCACAGGGAAAGACAAGGGTGGGGGGTAAGGTGGGCAACGGGCGTAAGTATCCTAAAGCACTTGATGGGTAATGCAGAAAAGTCTCCTAGAAATAACCCTGTAATTTTACTCTAAGAAAACCGAGGTGCAGGCCTTCCTTTGCGTCTCTGTGGCTCTCCCTACAGTGAAAAAATATTCTGATAAAAACCAAATGCTTTTTGGTTCACACATGCCCTCTTGGAACCGTACAAATACAGTATCTGGATTCTTAGCCAGCTGGGTGAGTTTCGGAGCACTGGAGACCAACGAGCTGGAGTTCGAGACCACCCCGAAGCTCTTCATGGATCTCAAACTGGGAATTTCCCCAGTGTTCCCCTCGAAGGCAAGCGGGTGCTTCGCAGATTTCATGCTCCCCCCGCCATGTGGCTCTGCCTCCCTGCTGGGCTGGGACTTCTGGTGGGGACAAGAACAGTGTCATGGACACAGCCTGTGGCTCCCTCCTCCTGTGTCGCTTACACACACCAGGTACTTCTCCATTGTTAATTTTAAAGGCCAGAAGCTTAGTCTTTATTAGCCTTTCCAAGATGGTCTATTTAGGACAGTTATTGCCTATTTTGAAAACACTCTAAGGGATAGGTACACATTGTGGTGTTTGACCCTAAAAATAGGAATTTATTCTTACCCTCCAGCACTGCATATAAAGAAAAGAGACATTAATGTCTAAGGTCTTCCCTCCCTGTGGCTAATGCCGAACAGCAACGTGTGTTAACCATTTTCAGACTGTGCTTGCGGGCAGAAAACAGAGGATTTCTTCTGTTATTTGTGAGTGTATACGGCAGACAGTCAGAGGGAAGGTAGTTGGTTAGATTTTAGTGATTTTTCCATTTTCAGATGTGTGGATCCCTGTCAAAAATGCTGGCTAGAGATGGGAGAAGCGGAAAGCAAACCGTGGCCTGCTGGGCCTGAGTCCACGCAAACCCCTAGGCTGCCCACACTTGGCTTCAGCGTGGGGCATCCAGACAGCCTCTCAGCTGTGGCCGTGAAAAGCCCCGGAGCCTACTAAATACCAGCTCTTGTCCTGCCCAGAGCTGGTCTGTGCTCTGTGGGGATGGGTGATGCTAGTCAAGGAAATTATAGGCTGTCCAGCCACCAGACCTTCCAGAAAGATTATGGGGTGACTTACTGATCTTTAGGTGGGTCAGGGATTTTGAAGGAAGGTTAGATTTAAAGCCTGTAGTTAGGTTTGGAAAGGTTGGGCTTGGAATCTCAGAGAGATGTAGATACAATGGAAAAAGCTCCAGGCAAAAAGGCACTTGTTTCTGTTCTTGTCCTGGTTCCCACACAGCCAGGCTCATCCCCTGGGGACATAGGTGACACAGCTGGCTTGTCAAGCCCTCCACCTTACAGATAGGGACACTGTAACTGAAAATGTGAAGCGAGTTCATCCCATTTCCCCACTGGTCAGATCAGAACCAAGGCTACAACATATTCTGCTGGCATCTGTGACTAAGCTTCCTCCCAAGGATGCCCTAGGACCTGATCATTCAGTTTCAGTGACTTACCATCAGATTTGCTATACCCTTGGAGGGCCTTTCTGGAGCTTCAGAGGTTCTGCTTTTAATGTGTTTCATGTTTAATGAAAGGGATTATGCTGGGGCCAACCACAGAAAAGTAGAAGCAAGAGAAATTTGGGAGGGTTCAATGTGGATAAATGACCTTAGCTCCTGGCTGTGGGCTAAATTATGTCCCCTCAAATTCATATATGGAACCTCAACCACCATGTATTAGTCAACTTTTCCATTACTGGGATAAAATATCCACAATTTAAAGAAGAGGTTTAATTTGGCTCACACTTTTAGGGGGTTCAGTGCATGGTTAGCTGGCTCCAAGGCAGAAATGGCATGGTGGACGGGAGCTGCTCAATTTATGGCACTTAGGAATCAGAAAGAGTAGGAGGGGGGGAGGATAAAGACAAGAAGACATTCTTTCTGGTCACATTCCCCAGTGGCTAGTCCCTGCCTCCACAGGCTGTGGTGGGCTGAATCACATCCCAGCCATAATCTTCCCTTCCCATAATGTGACCTACTTGGAGATACAGTAATTGAAGGTGTAATTAGCTAAAACAAAGTCCTGTTGGATTAGGGTGAGGCTCTAATCCGATGTGATGGGCATCCTTATAGAGAAAAAAATTGGACATAGAATAGTGTGAATGCCACATGAGGATAAAGACAAAAATTGGCAGGATGATTCAATAATCCCTGGGACCAAAGATTGGGAGCAAAGCAACAGAAGCCAGGAGAAAAGCATGGATCAGATTCTCCTTCACAGCCTCAGAAAGAAGAGTTAAATTAAATAAGTATGAAGCAGATGGACATGGCAGCGTGCGCCTGTAATCCCCAGCACTCAGGAGGCCGAGGCAGTAGGATCTTTGCAAGTTTGAGATCGGTCTGGGCTACAAAATGAGTTCAAGGCCAGTCTGCATAGCAAGACCCTGTCTAAAAAAAAAAAAAAAAAAAAAAAAGTATGAAGCCTTTGGTCTGGGCTGTCTCTATCCTTACCATTCCCAGGTAGTCTATTTCTGTAACATAACTTAGTGTATTTCTATAATGGACACTTAGGGCTTACTTGAGCTTCAGCCAATCCCAAGCAGCTGACTGATCACATTGTACTCAAATAAAACAGATACCCCAGTGTAGCCAATCCAGTGATGTCTCTATCCGGCACCCTTGTTTGGCTTATTAACTTTCAGGGGTTAATGTACCACTTCTGAGTCTGAGAGCTGCCTGATTCCTGAATTGTTTTTTCCTCAAATAAACTCTGTTAAATTTAATTTGTTTAGTCATCTTTTCAGAAAACTACTCTACCAACCCTGAAAACAAACTTGCCAACCCAAAACCTCAGTTTTGGTGACTTCCAGGGTCCCAAATTGAGCCGGTAGATTTCTGTTGCTTCAGCCTCCCAGTTTATGGTACTTTGTCCTGGCAGCTCTAGCAAATGAATACATTTTTTTCTTTTATACTCGTCATGGATGACTATATCATTGCTTGTCTGTTTTGTCATTTTCCTTCAGCTGTTTATCTCACAGCCAAATATTTAATGTTCTCTAAAACATTTTTTAGTCCTGAAATGATCTTGGTTAAAGAAAAAAACTTTTTAAGGGCAATGGAAGTGCCCCAATTAATTTTAAGACTTTCTGTTTTAGTGATTGACAATGAAAATGAAAAACAAAACAAAAACTCAGTCTGAAGCAATTTATTTGACAAATTTTCTCATGGGCTTTATTGGCTTCTACAGCCTAAGATCAGAATCTAAGGTCAATTATGCTTCCGTCCAACCCCAGGATTTACATCGCGCCTGGATTGTACCAAGCCCCACTGAAGAGGGAAAGTGCTCTTCTCTTCGGGCCTAACAGCCCTCTGTCTTCATCACTGGCTTGGGGAGAATGCTGCAAGGTCCTGCTTTTTGCTGGGGAGCTCTCTGAGGCCTGCTCTTGTAGTTGTGGCTTTGGCCTATGCTGACCACTCAGAAGCCACATGAGGCAGATGACCATCACGTGCTTTAAGAGCTGCCTGGCTCTGGAGGACATGGAGTTTAATGTTGTCCACTCATGCGGAACTCTCTCAGTAGCACTAATGAGTGCTAATGATTCTCAGGGGAGGGGCCTGGAAAGCACAAGGTCCTGAGTTTGATTCTTGGTCCAGAAAAATGTCTTAGGGGAGTGAGAGATGCCTGCTTGTGCGGAGGCATCTTCCCAGCCCTGTGTGCTTAGCATCAATGGGGCTGGGTACGGATGGAGGCAGAACAGTGGGAGCCAGTATCCCTGAGAGCCCCAAGACCACAGCTGCCCCGCAGGGCTCATCTGTCCTTTAATCTGGCTGGATTAAAGTGCTGTGCTCCACACAGGCCACCCTCTGTCCCTTACCAGGCCTTTCAGATGGGTTCAGATGAAGTTACATGACAGCTGTCCTTTAGATCAGTTCTGAAGTGGACTACATGAAATGCCCCATTTGAGGGTCAAAAGCAGTCAGTAACCACAATGTCAGCTCATGCAACCTCATAGATGTTCTTTAAGCTTTTCAATTGAAATTAGTTATAGGCAAGAAAGAAGTTGCAAAAACTGTACGAAAAGGTCCAACATATTCATTGCTCGGTTTACCCTCGTAGTAGCATCTACGTAATGAGGTTCATTATTGAAAACAGGTAATAGATGTTGGTACCATATAATTTACTAGTTTACAGGTTTCCCTTAGGTTTTACTAACTCAGTAGATTCTTGGGTCCTGATTATTGCTCACATTAACATAGTTAGGGGTCTGTTAATTTTACAGATGATAGATTTTCATTTTATTTAATTGAATTTATTTAGTGTGTCGAGGACTGAACCCACGGCCAGTTGTGCTAAGAATGTGCTCTAACGCTGAGCCACCCCTCAGCCCCTTTCATTTGATAAGTTTAATAAAAAGTAGATTCCTAAGGTCAAAATTCAAATATAAAGTAGAACAGGAACGTTTCTTGCTCTCTTCTCTTATTCTACACGAGTAGCTGCCGTTAGGAGCTTGGTGTAAATCCTTATGCTAGCTTTCCAGCTCTGTGACAAAATACCTGACATGTCATGTCAGGAGGAAAGATTTATTTTGGCTCATGGTCTCACAGGGCCCAGTGGCTGAAGGGTGTGCGGGGAGGAACAGCTCCGTACAGAGGTGTGGCAGGGCAAAGCGCTGGCCTCAAGGCAGCTGGGAAGCAGAGGGAAGAGAGAAAGTATATGTACTCCTTTCGCTAACAATCTTTGCTGCATCCGGGCTCCCAGCCTATGGGATCGTGCCATCCACATGGAGGGTGGGTCTATCCCTTCAGTTCGCTGTCCCACATGTCAGTCATCTCTGGGACTGCCCACAGTTCGCCCAGAAGCTGCTCTACTGGATCCTTAGATGTTTGTCAGCTCAAGCTGACAATCAAGATTAATCACAATCTCCTTTTTTTTCCTAGGGAGAAGAGAGGAAGAAACGTTCCCGTTCTACTTTATATTTGAATTTTGACCTTAGGAATCTACTTTTTATTAAACTTATCAAATTATTTAGAGGTAAATACCTATATGATTTCTTTTTTTATTTATTTAGAGCAGAAAATTTTATTAGGGAAAAAAATGGGGAGTAGGAATAGCTCCCGAGAGACAGGAGGAGACCCGAATATGCTGCGAATGAGCCCGTTTTTCTTTCTTTTTAAACATCTGGTTGTTTACTACTGTCAAAATTTAAGATCAAAATTATTTTATAAGGTAATAGTATATAAAATTCTCCGAAACGCTAAGATCATGTGACCGTTTTGTGACTTCACCGTTTGAATTTAATCTTCATGGCGGAGTCTGCACAGAAAGTGACATTTCTCAAACATTATAAGAACAAGGACAAATCGCTGTAAATGTTCCTCAGGAGTGTCCTGGCTTTGCCGGATGTGGAACCCACTTTTCAAAGGAAGATTTATGAGCAAAACTATGAGGTGGGTACAACGTGGGACCGAATTTGGATCAAACAATAAGATTACAAGTATGGTAGTTGAAGAAATACTGAGCCAATAGTAGCGAGGGCATTTGGATGGCATCATTAATCTTGGTCAGTAATCTATAGTCTTAGCCTTGTCATCAATCACAGTCTCAGGTCAGTCTTAGTGTCTAGTCTTAGCCTTAATCCTCGTGGGTGGGAGAGGATATGGCCACCATGAGATAATGGTTAATTTATATGGGACTCTCATAAGGGTGGTGCTAATTGCAAATTCCCTTTATCCCTTAGGGAAATGCGTAAATCTGCCCACTGTGATTTTAATCATCTTCAGATACGCCTCCAGCCTCAGTTTTGATGTGTCCTCATTCAAGGGCCTAGTCCTGTCTGACTGCCAATACTGTTTCTGGCACTCTCCGGCTCTGAAGAGCTGCCCTAACCCCTGACTGCACTGCCCATCCTGGCTTCCAGCTGAAGGGGTTCCTGCTTGTGATCAGCAGTCAGAGACACTCCACAGGGGGGCCTAGCTAAAGGCCCCATAGATGCTAGGCCTTCTTGTCTGGGCAGGTGAATAGCTTTAAGTCTTCTTCCAGTTATCTCTGGGAGACTTCCAAGATGATACAGCGGAAATGAATGTGACTCCCAACTTGCTGGGTGTCCAATGGCTGACTTCATGGTCCCTGAAGGTGACAATGAGTTCTAAGGAGCAGAGGAGATTCAGAGTAGGAAAAGTTACTGGGGAAAAGGAATGAGGAATAGCAATAGAAACAGCTCCCGAGAGACAGGAGAGGTCCCAAATGGGTTGCCTATGGTGGCTTTTATAAAAACTATCATAATTTACGAGCTGTCTTCTCATTAGTATGTTACGAGCATGTTCATGTTCACAGTGGCTGTGCTGGGATTTCTGTGTATTCCCACTTGCCTTTGGTTTCTTTGGGTGAAGGATCAGGTTTTGAGCGTGCCTGGCTGCGCTGGGCCCTGCCTGAGCTCTGTCCTCGGATCCAGCCGGCACGCTGGCTGCCGTGGCTCACCTGGCCGCTTTAGCTTTCTGCTTCCCCAGAAGGGCTCTGTCCTTCCCTGCTGGGGTTTGACTTGCAGGTGTGGATTCCCAGCTTTGGGGGCTTCCCCTTCCCACCCTGGTCAGCTGTGTTGCTGACTAATCTGTGTTCTTCCCAGATCCCACGTCTGCCACTCAGGATTTCAAATTGTATGGCCCTGTCTCTTTCAATCCAGTAGTTTCCCCTTATTCCTGGGGATTTGTTCCAGGACACTCGGGAGAGGCCTGAGTCACAAGTGGTGCTGAACTCTGTATACGCTGAGTTTTTTCTCTACATGCATGAAGTTTAAAGTTGATCATAAAATTTATTTTGTGAATTGGCCCCTGTAAGAGATTAGCAATTAGTGCTAATGAAATAGAATAATTATAACAACATACTTGGTGTGATAGAATTTCCATCGTTATTATTCTTTTGTGTTAAGACCATTGCTAAGTGCAGTAAGGGTTATTAAGCATGTCCACGGCGTTGCTGTGACATCAACCTGGTGACCCAGGCGGCTGATGACAGCAGGTAGCATAGTCAGTGTGGATCCACTGGTAAAGGATTCATGTCCAGCTGGGACGAAGGGCAGCAGCGGGAAATTTCATCATGTGGCTCAGAACGTGGTGCCATTTAAAACGTGGATTTTTATTTCTGAATTTTCCATTCAATAGTCTCAGAACCTATTAACTTTCGAAAATGGAGGCTGTAGAAAATGAAACCATGCATAAGAGAAAAAGGTGGTGTTTTATAATTTGGGGCACAGTTACCAAATTAAATCTCTCTTGATTCTCTTTGCTCATTTG